TAAATTTATGTTTTATTTCAAAAATAACTTATTGCCCCCATTGCTTCTCGATCTTTTTGTAAGGAATAGCCAAATTCACAACTATGGTACCAGAACAGCCAATAATTATGGAACGCATTTGTGCCGTACAAATGTCAAGCAGTTTACAATTCTCTACCAAGGTCCTAAAATTTGGAACTCTCTCCCTATTTCAGTCACTCGTTCGTCAAACTTTGTCAGCTTTAAAACGAAATTGCAAGAGTTTTTACTTAAATAATCACTGAATTGGCCAAGCCGCACATTCGCAGCACTTTTTCTTTACTTACTTTATTATTGTAAGTGAGGTGACTCTCCCATAAGCCTGGTGGCTTCTTGGGTCTCCTCGCCTTCTAACTGTTATCGCTATAATTAACTATTTTTTAATTGTTAAAATAAGGCAAATAAAGATGATGATGATGAAGTCCCTCATTGTCAATTATATTCTCTTTACCAGTACCTTGAGAAACGTAGAGGGAAAAGTGGGGAGAATATTTATACTGATGGTCGGCTGTAACTGGTTGACGATATATTTTTGACGTTTTTGTACTTTTCCTGCCTTGATTTCTCCAGGGTGTTGAAAGGTGCTATATCAAGATTTTGGCTCAAAAAAACGTTGACGATACCTTGAAGAAAATCGCTCTCGAAAGACTGAAAAACGTCCAAGAAAAAAGAAAATCATCCTCACAGAGTCAAAAAAGGCGGAAAAGACTTGTCAAATTATAGAGAACGGAAATTAAGGATCAAAATTCATCTATAAAAATGGAGTAAACGTTCCAAGATGGCGAGAGGGGAATGTTTTGTGGTGCTGTTCTCAGCATCCAATCAGAAAGAAATACGTCACAAGAAGCCAATCGATATTCAAAGAACAAAGAGAAAACTATTTGACACGCGCGAAAAAGGCACGTGACTGAGCGAATGGTGTCAGTTTGAGCATAGTTACTATGGTATGAGGTGGCACGAGTTTTCTAGACCAATCAGAACGCAAAGTAATGTTCACACATTTGAAAATACTCAAATGAACTTATGCCCTCGTGATTTCTTCACTTTTTCTGGAGTGGCATTATCAGGCTGTACATTCTGTTTATTGCGTTAAAAAAAAAAAAAGTATGACGAAGCTCACAGGTCAGGCCCACCAGAAGCTGACAGAAAAGCTGAGAGACAAGGAGCGGATATAGTGCCAGTGATAAGGGGGGATGTACAACATCTCTCCTTCCTTCAAAATACACTCCTGATAAACTGCTGATGAGAATTTGGGAAATTTGACAAGATCAGGCTCCTCCACATCCACCTGAAAATACAAAATTGGATAGAGATTTTATTTTGATATAAAAGCATCTCTAATTCTTAATAAATATAAAATTTCAAATATGACACTTCTTTCCAATGAATTTGTGTTTTTTTCTTCTCTTTTATTACTCCAAACTTTGAGGCTTCTTTTGATGGCAAAATATAATGAGAACCTCTTCTAGTACCTGCTTGCATACACTGATTAGACAGAAATAAAGGTTTCCATCAGAAGTCCATCTCTCAAGTGATTTTTTTTTTAAAAATTAAAATNAAACATCTGTGTAAAGAATGAAGGTCAACTGTTGATGAAAAAATTATATCAATTCTCAGACTGTACACAAATGTTTCTTCCGAGAGAAAATTACCTGACTTGTGTTATTTAGCAAGGTAGATTTGTGAGGATACAGATTCTCTGTTTCAGTTTTGGAATAAAGTCGTATATATTTCTCTCCAACCACTTGTGCCAATAGATTGTGATAAGGGTCTTGATGCATGGGTGAGATTGTGCCCTTAGGTCCAAACCAAGCATTAATGATAACATCATTATCACCTTCCCCGAGGTAGCAGTAATCAGGAGTAATGATATCCCTTCTTAACTCAGGGATCTGATCAAATAATTGGTGTTGAGCTAAATAAGCAATCTCTGACTCTTGTCCATTTTCAATTGGACTGAGGTACTTGTCAATAAAATCTCCTATAGTCATTAATTTCTGCGTCCATGTGTCATCTGTGTAACGTGAGCCCAGCTCCACTGGAACTGTACGACAGCCAGCAATGTTCTTAAGATAACTGATACCCCATCTATGACTTGTTCTTGCAGGCCAGTGATCCATTACTCCTTGTATAATTACAGGCTTGTCTTTCTGCATGTAATTTGTAAGAAATGCTTCTATTGATGGGCAACAAACATGGCCCACTTCATAATTCTTGAAAATGATGGGTATATTCGCAATACCCTTCCTTCTCTTTGTAGAATTGCTTCTTTTAGATGAATGTTCATCACCACTTGATTCCTGCTGAGGATTCATTGGTTCATCCCTCAACTTCCTTTTCTCTTTGGATGTCAAAGCTAATGAACAGTTTTTTTGATCTCCTTTAGCCTGTGCAGTACCTTCTGCTATGTCTCTATCAGTTAAACTCCTTGACACAACATTTTTCTGAAACTCAGTTGCAAACCGTGTCAGAATGTTGTCCAAAATGGGGGCCCCCAACAGAAGTCCCATGTCACAAGCCTTCATGGCCTGTGTCTGTCTTCCCATGCCGTAAAGGCAAAGGGCCTTGAACATACTTGCATATGAATATGTCTCCCTCCAGATTACATTCACATCCCTCCAGTGACCTGTGTTACATTTCTCCCAGCAGATGTCAATCACAAATTGACAATTTGACAGACAACTGTGTAAGTTACCACGGAAGAACTCATGTACGCCTTGAGTAAGAAGGAAAAGCACTGGGTCACCCCCAGAATTTGATAATTGGCACAGATTATGTCCAAGCTTTAAATCCTTAGCATCCTTAACTGATGGAAGAAGCTGCTGGAGCACAGATGCAGCGCTGTTAGTTTCACTCGAGAAGTCCGCCATGTTCACTTGAAAGAATCAGAGCAGCGGAGTAATTGCAGATAAATTACTTTTACATACTTTCATCATAGAGTGTCCAAAGATTAGATCCCACTCCTTTTGGAAGTGGAAGTGGTAGTCTACTTCATCTTTTGAACGTTAATTGTTCGTGTTCATTTTAATTAATGGCGTCTAAGAAACGACGAAAGTACCAAAAGCGCCATGGAAACGATTCTGTTGACTTTCAAGAGGAAATAGAACCCCTGTTTAACAAAAAATTCGTTTTAAAGTCAAACGAGGAAATATGGGAACTTCCGGATTCGTCGACCATGTTTCAAGAACCACCATTCATTCTAGAAGACCTGATCTCGCTGAAAGATGATTTGAATCGGAAAAAGGGCTTATTGAATGATATGGATATTGTCCAATGGCATTCACATACCCGCAGAACTCACAAAGCCGGACTTGTCGTGAAGCACCTCAGAGAGAACTTCCATGCGGAAATGTGTACTCAGGCCTGGACTAAATTCTACGAAATTCTCAGTGCCTTTGATCTGATCCCAGAGGATGCACAAAGGAAACAAATATTTCGCTCTGTGCACCTCTGCGAGGCCCCTGGGGCTTTTGTTGCAAGTTTGAATCACTTTCTAAAGAGCCATTACAATGGTCTAGATTGGCAGTGGGTTGCTAATACTCTGAATCCTTACTATGAAGGACATGACCTGACAGCCATGCTGGATGATGACAGGTTTATTTTAGAAACATTGTTGCATTGGAATTTTGGTGCTGATGGAACTGGGGACTTGATGAAACTGGCTAATCTGGATTCTCTTCAACAGGAGACTGGTGAAAATCACTTGGTAAGGGAAAAGTTATGAGCGCCTCTTTTTTGTAATTTGATTTTATCAACTAAGTTTATAATATGTATGATGCACGATCCTTCGCAGTAGATAGCGCTATTTATGCAATAGCAAAAATCAGACCTGAAAAAAATCAAGCCTGTACGGGATTCAAACCACTGACCTCTGCGATACTAGTGCAGCGCTCTACCC